TATTATGATTGATCTGTAAATTCTTTCTTCATTTTTATTTTGGACAGTTTTATTGTTATATTCATTTATGTTTGTAAATAATTTATTTTCAATTTGCAATCTATTAAAAAATAAATAAAATAAAATAAAATAAAATAATTACCCAACCAGCAATGGTAATGCATGCCTATAATCCCAGTATGAGGGAGGGCGAGGCAGGAGCATTGCCATGAGTTTGAGTTGACCTGGGCTACATAGTGAGCTCAAGGCCAGCCTAAATTATAGGGTGAGACTCTATCTAAAAAAAAAAAGAAAAAGTTCCACACATGTATGACTAAGTATAATTAAACAGTTAAAAATAGTACAGATGTTGGTTTATTAGTAATTTAATCTGAGTATGCATAAGTGAGTGGGAATACTCATTTTACTTTATATATTGTATTTTTTCTAAAATGAATCAGTAATATTCATGTTTTTGTAATAATTCCCTTTCAAATTCAGTTCCTAGGCGAGGGCAGTACTCTGAGGCCCTGTGATAAATTCTAAAACTACAAAGGTGACTATGGCATGATCTGGGTCTTTAAATCTTCCTCGGAGAGCAGGGTACTTCGTAGAGTATGAGACATTTGAACTTTCTCTTTTCTTGTAGTGGGGGGAATTGAGAGGGGGACTTGGGGAAAGGACAGTGTGTGCAGAAGCCACAGATGTACAGGAGGGCACTGTATACTTAAGAGACAAGAGTTGGGCATGGTGGTGCAGCCCCACCACCATGTACCAGCCGTGGGACGCTGAGGCAGGAGGATCTTCTCCAGCCTGAAGCCAGTCCTGGTAACACAGTGAGTTTAAGGACAGACAAAAATACCTAGAATGACTCTGTAATAGCAACAACCACAGAAAGCATCTCGAGGTTGGTGGAGGGTGGGTGTGGTTAGCTTGTGAAGGATTCTGGGTAACAGGCCAAAAAGTCTGGTAGCAAAGATGGCAGGACAGCTTTTTAGGCAGGCAAGAGGTGCAGTTAAACTTGCTAGTAGGAGAGGAGTGCATGGTGGGGGTTAGGGAACTAAACAGGACATGGAAGATAAAGCTGTTGTCACCATCGAGAGAGGGAGAGAGGTTTCAGGTAGAGCCAGGTCAAGCACAAGGCCCTGAGTCTGATTCCTGGGTTCCGAGAGCAAAAAAGAAAAAGGCATTCCTAAGGACAAGCAACAGGATTCCACTGACTAGTAACACATGAGGAGGTTAACAGTGGAAGGGTCTAGTTTAGCAGATGAAAATTCAAACTACAAAGTCTGCTAAGCACATTTCCATCATTCCATGTTGCCGGTAAAATGCACGGGTGGTCATACGCAGGCTATCATATTATCCAGAGGGTCTATGTTTTGTTTTTTTTTGGCAGAACCGGGGATTGAGCTCAGGCCCTTGCGCTTGCCAGGGAAGCGCTTATACCACTGAGCCATCTCCCCAGCCCCTGTTTTCCACAAAATCTTTCTATTTAACTGGACACAGAACTGCAAATTCTATTCTGTTATTTGGGTTTATTTACTTTGTTTGGTTTCCCTTATTTTTTTTTTGTACAGGGTCTCACTACACAGATTAGACTTGTAGTGATTCTCCTGTTTTCAGCTTCGCAAGTGCTGGGATTACAGGTGCATGCCATGATGCTCAGTGTTTGGTTTCTCTTGATTTTTATTTACACCTTCCCCACGTGAGTATGCCAGTTAAAATTCCAAGCATCTTTGGCGACTTAGTTCTTTAATTTAGTCCATAAAGACGTGAGTACTTATATGCTAGACGCTGTTGTAGGTTTCCAGGAGTCAAAATTGAGAGATTTTTATTCTTCAAAATAAATTATTAAAAAAAGTGAAAAAAATCTAAAATACAGAAATTCTTGTTTCTTAGTGGTATAATTAAAAAGAAAAAAGTACTAGACTCTATCTACATTATTCTGATCTGAATTATATCATATGGTTATGCCTGTTTTATAGACAAAAAACTAAAGGCCAGAGGGATGGATTATTTTAATCCAATTTATTGGATTATTTAACCCAATAAATTAAGGGGGTAGTGCTGAAAGGGAAACATTTTCTAATATTTTTTTAAAGAAGTAATCATATACCTGATGATAAGTTGAAATTGAAGATTATTTTAACTTTGACTCATTAAAAGGATTTTTTGGCATATAAACTACAAATAAACAATTTGAAGTAGTTGCAGACTGTTCCTAAGTCTATAAAATGAGATTCATAATATGGGTGGCTTGTCATGACATGCCAGTTACTGCTAAGATGTCTCTCGGGTAGGTGGATGTTCAAGAAGAAGGCGGTGGTGAATGAAAGGAAGAGACAAGAAAAGGAATATTGTGGGACTGTCCTGCTTCAAGGTTGTATATGGTAAGATTTTTGGACTTATGTGCAAACATGAGAAGTATAGGATTCTTTATCCTATTTTTAAAATATAATCTAATTTTTAAAT